AAACTCCCAGTTAGAACACAAGGTGTAGATTTGTTTCCATTACCTTGCTACTTGTGGGATCCCCAAAGCAACACTTGGACAGAGGTGCAGTATGAGCATATATATGCAGTATATATGCCCTATGTGGGCACCCTTAAACTCAGCCCATGCCAGAGGATCACTGTCTTATCAAGGGTTATTCCCAGCTGCAATGTCACTTGAGTGATTTACAGTCCTCCTTAAAAGTCTTCCACTTTTAATCCATTCCTCCCAACAGATATTTTTCAAAATCTTTTGACTTCCATGATCTGCTCTGTTCTGGGCATATTGTTACCTTGATGGGTCAGCATGTTAAAAACCCCAAACAAATTGACCACGTGGATGTGTATTTGGCATCTCTTTTAATAGTGTTCTTTAATGTTCAGGAAGAACTCGGAGAAGGTGAGAGTCTGTACACTTCAGCCACCATGTCTGGAATTGGTAATAAACGGGCAGCTGGAGAGCCTGGCCCTTCTGCACCTCCAGAGAAAAAGGCAGGGGTTGAAGATTCAGGCACCACTGTGGAGACCATTAAACTTGGTGGTGTTTCATCAACGGTATGTCTTCCTTGAATACCCCCACTCCACCTTTTGTTGTTTTTCATCTGGAGGCAAAAATGCCTCTGGGGTCAGGATGAGCCCTTCTGAGACCTGGCCTGTGTGTCCCGTGTGCCTGTGCCCAGGAGGAGCTGGACATCCGGACCCTGCAGACCAAGAACCGGAAGCTCGCAGAGATGCTCGACCAGCGCCAGGCCATCGAAGATGAGCTGCGGGAGCACATTGAGAAGCTGGAGTGTCGGCAAGCAACCGATGATGCCTCTCTGCTGATCATCAACCGATACTGGAATCAGGTTGGTAACAGCTTTTGTTACTTTATATACACTGTTTTCTTGTCTCTGCTGTACCACTGCACTTCCTTTGCTCACATCCATTCTTTCTCTTGCATTGCCTGTCCCATCATTCAGTTTGATGAAAATATCCGCATCATCCTTAAACGCTTCGACCTGGACCAAGGTCTTGGAGACTTTTTGTCTGAAAGAAAAGCACTGGTGGTGCCAGAACCTGAACCAGACTCTGACAGTAATCAGGAGCGCAAAGATGAGAGAGAACGAGGTGAGGCACCTGTCTGGGGACAGTGGGAAGGATGGATTTCTGCTATGGACGATGCTGAGGTCCGTTTCAAAAGGCAGATGAAGACTTTTATTGTGATTGTAAAGATTGATTATATATGTACCTTCGAGAACACATTTACTTCTTTTCACCTCTTTATGTTTCCAGGGGAAGGACTGGAGCCAGCATTCTCCTTCCTGGCCACTCTAGCCAGCAGTACCAGTGAGGAGATAGAATCTCAGCTGCAGGAGCGTGTGGAGTCCTCCCGCCGAGCTGTTGCCCAGATTGTGACAATGTATGACAAGCTGCAGGAGAAGGTGGATGTGCTGTCTCACAAGCTGAATAGTGGAGGTATGACCAGTGGCAGGTATTCAAGAATGCTTATCTGCCCCCTCTCCCTCCTTAGACCTCATCCTGCATTGTAGACATTAAGGTCTAGTCCTTCTCATGTGCATTTGTTTTCCAGAATGAATCTGTTTGGCTTTCCAAACTCTCGTTACCAAAACCTCTACTAAAGGACCATGTGCCAGAAGTGTATTGTAGCTACCTCTGTACTTGAATGCTGAGCATGTTGGGCTCTGCTCAGCATGTTGGGCTAAGAAGCAGCTGTTTCTGCCAGTATTGTGTTCACGTGCCTGAGAAGTCAGAGAGCACAGTTGAACCTTATCAGCCAGCTGTCCTCAGCCACCACATAAAAGGCTTCATGCTTACAAGTAAAAGTGAAATCAGCATTGCAAACTGATGGTGGGCTCCTTCTCCTTTGCAGTTTAGTAGAACGTGTAGGAATAACCAACAGCTCAGTTTCCACTGAGGCCTGAGAAAAATGGTGCCCATCTAATAGCGTGCTGTACTTAGAGTAGCTGTCAGTTTTGAATGTAGCAGAGTTCTGCAGAGAAAGCCAAATGACCAGTGTCTAAAAATTAATGTAGCAGATTCTTTACACTCTGATGACTACTGAAAAAACTTCATTAGCTTAAGGTTAGCATTTTAATCTTTTGAACAAAACTTTGGATGGAATATCAGCTCATGCTTGGTGTGCCTTCTGTGTGCTCTGACCAAGTCTGGCATTGCTGTAGGGAGGTGTTGCTGTGCATGGCTAGCAGTCATAAACTGTAGTAGCTTTGACATTGTTGCCATGTGAGCCTGTCCTCAGGTGCTCTATTTTCCCTTGTCACTGCGGTGATGTGGTTGCCACTTGGTATCACCTGTTGTAGAGTTTTATGCATGAATTTGGACAGCATTCGGGTGTCCCTGAATTCGGGTGTCCCTGAATTCCAAGGGCATGCTCTGGGTTGCTGGTCCAGGCAAAGCTGAAGTAATCCCTGCTGTGAGGGGATGGTCCCCATGCCAGGTGTGTGCAGCACTGTTAAACTGTAGAGCGTTTTGCTCAGGGAGTGCAAGTCAAAGCTCTCTGTGGATGGAGGTCAGGCCCTCAGGAAGCCCAAGGCAGAGGTAGCCTTGTGGGAGAGGTAGGGTAAACTGATGTTAAACCCAGAAATCTCCTTTTCTGTTTTCTTATTTCTCTCTGTGCTGTTCAGGAATTAAAATCAGTGCTCCTTGATTTCCATTAATTTCCTTTTCTTTGTGTACCTTTCAGATATTTCACTGATGGAAGAAGCAGTAGTGGAGTTGAATTCCTACCTGTCACATGAGAATGGACGGCTGCAGGAACTGGTTGATGTTCTTCAGGAGAAGCACAGAATCATGTCTCAGGAGGTATAAAAATGAGAGAGAAAGAAATCTGCTTTGGGGTCCTACTTAATAGCATAATTTTTTGTTACCATAGTTTGGAAAGCAGCTTATTTCCTTGGAGAGGCACAGGAGCAGCATGGTTCAAAAGTTATGAAAGTAATGTTGTTGTAGAGAGGTGTACATAGATTTTCTGTATAAATCAGAATGTTTTGCTTGTTACATGACTAAAGGAAAGGAAATAAGCAAGTCAGTGAGTTGAATGGATTTAACTTCAAAAGAAAAGGGGACAGCAGAGGAACTGGGGGCAAGTGATGCTAAGGGGGCTGTGTAGACACCTGGAACAGTCTAACTGGCATCCCTGTCAGTCTGAATTTCTTGGTTTCTCTGTGTTGTTTGACAGTTACAAGATGATCCCACTTATTAAGGGATTCACATTATTAGCAGGATTTGTTTGAGAGATTTCAGTTCATTTAAAAATTGTGTTAATTCTGGTCTTGCTCAGTGTTAGACCTCTGAGCACTTAGGTGCTCTGTAGAGTAGATGGAAATAGGAATTGAAAATATTAAAATCAAAAAAGCCTTTGAATAAGCTGAGGTGTCTATGTCTGTATTCTGCCAGATATTAGCAGCTTCCTGCTCTTTTTTAATTTTCAGTTTTATCGTATTTTTCTTGCTGTCTTGGGATTTGGCCAGTGTAAAATTAAGGACAGTTTATGGAATAGTCTGTCACCACAGCAAAAGATGAAAAGTGCATGGTGGATAAGAGAAAAATGACTCCTGAGCAGCCTCAGGGAAAGCTGATTCTACGTAATATGTTGGCTGAAGCACTCCTTTGATTGCAGTTCTCCAAGCTGCAAGAGAGGGTGGAGACAGCAGAATCCCGGGTGTCTGTCCTAGAGACAATGATTGAGGACCTTCAGTGGGATATTGACAAGATCCGCAAGCGGGAGCAGAGGCTCAACCGCCACCTGGCCGACGTCCTGGAACGAGTAAGCTCTGCCTTGCTGGCCAGGAAACCTGGGAGGTGGGGCTGGTCTTGGATGGGTGTGTGACATCCTCTCTAGGACTTGGCTGGGAGAGCTGAGAATCTGCAGTGTATCTTCTTTGGTCTTGGATCTGCTGCATCACTCTTGTCAGTATTTCACTGGGTCATGAGGAAATCTCTTTCATTTTTTGCAGGTAAATTCCAAAGGCTACAAGGTGTATGGAGCTGGGAGCAGCCTCTATGGGGGAACAATCACCATTAATGCCCGCAAGGTAAGGTCAGCTTGACTGTGGGCAAGGGGAAGAATAAAGTCAAGGAGGACAAGGGCCACAATTTGAGCAGAATTTAGATACTTAATTTAGATAATTTTAGATCCTGTGATGCAAAGCTGGGTGACTCTGGGCAAGCCATTTTGTCTGTGTACGAGTTTCCTGCTCATGAAACATCTGGTGTAAATAGACTCTGTTTCACTTGGTCACATTACCTGACTGCTTGTCTGTAATTGCTGTTACTGCATGAACAGATAATTCATTAGGACACTCAGGAGAAACATTAACAGTGGGATTTACAAGCAGTTTATCCCAACAGTTTGAGGAGATGAATGCAGAGCTGGAAGAGAATAAAGAGCTTGCTGGGAATCGCCTTAATGAATTGGAGGAACTACGTCAGGATCTTGAGGAAGTAACAACACAAAATGAAAAGCTCAAGGTGAGACATCTGTAGCTATGTGAGGATGAAGGTGTTCTGAGGTGCCCTCAGCCTTGCAGTGCTGTATCTGCAGGAAAGCTCATTAGCAGTGCCTGTTCTGAGCCTGCTCTTTAGCTGTGTTACACTTTGCTCCAGGTAAAATTCAGCGGATCCATGGCTCTATTTGTTGTTCAGCGTGTTGGTGACACCGTGTGGCCACCGTTGGAAATTGTAATGGTTTCCTGCCCGTGCCCCATTCTGATCTTTCAGTCTGTTTTGACTATGTCTGGTTAAAACTGTTTTCACCTCTTTACAAGTAGTGATCGCTCTTCCACCTTGCCCACGGCCTGTGCAAGTGGAGCCAGGGAACAGAAACAATCAGGGAACTTATGTGGGGAGAGAAGCTCTTGAAAGAGTCAGTGAATTTGTCTTTCCCAGTGTGGGGGATGGATAGGTAGGAAACAGCCTATGAGTTTGTGAAGTTTTAAAGGTGGTGATGTTTTAAATGCAAGAAGCTGTGACTCTGTGGTAGAGAAGTGTCTGATGGAGAGAGTAATCCAAATGTCATCTTAGTGGTCAGTTCCAGCTATAAGTAATGTCTGTCTGGAGAACCTAAATTTCAGAGATGTGTTGGTGGAAACTGTCTTGAGGCAGCTCTGAATTCTGTTTATCCATATGAGTTTGTTTAGAGAGAAACGTTCTTTAGCTTGCAACTTTTTCCCCCTAATTACTTCTAAGCTGAATGCATGTATATATGTGTATGTTCTACTGCTAACTTTTTTCTAGGAATTCAGTTCTGTACCTCTGGGGATTTTTTTCTTTTCTCTTGCTGTCAGTCATTATGTCTTACTGGAAGAAGGCTAACAACGCCTACTTGCATGTGCATTTTCTTTGTTCTCTCATATTTTTTTATGTGTCTGTCTTTATTGATCTGGGTGATTACAATTTTTTATGTTTTCCAAGTTCATATTTTTGAGAGAAGCTATTTTAGGACCCAAGAGTCAAAAACTTGCATGATGTGGTTGTGCAAGAG